GAAGAGGATGGAAAATGAAGGCTATCATTGCTGACGTCAGATGGACCTTGGCTGAAAGCAAAGAATACCGGAAGGATTTTTACCTGTGTCTCACTGACTATAAAGACATTCAGCTGTGTGGATCATCACACATTCTAGATGACTTTGCAAAGAATTGGAATTCCAGAGCACTTAATAGTTCTCACATGAAAAAACTGTATTCATCAAGAAGCAGTCATTTAAACAGAACAAGAGGATACTGTGTGCTTTAAAATCAGGAAAGACGTGGTTCAGGATTATGTTCTTTCACCAGATTTATTCAATCTGTATGCTGAGCAAATAATCCAAGAAGCTGGAGTGCATGAAGAAGAACATGGCATGAGGACTGGAGGAAGACTCACTGACAACCTTGCTAGCTGAAAGTGAAGAGGACTTGAAGCACTTACTGATGAAGACCAAAGATCACAGCCTTCAGTATGGTTTAAACCTCAACGTAAAGAAAACAAAAATCTTCACAACTGGACCAAATAGTAACATCATGGTAAGTGGACAAAACAGTGAAGTTGCCAAGGACTTCATTTTACTTGATTTCATTCTACAGTGAGGCAGCCCTAACTCATAACAACCTCATGGACAACAGAAGAAAATACTGCCCTGTCCTCTGTCATATCTACAATTGGTTGTGGATCGGTCCATTGTGATCCATTAGATTTTCATCTGCTGTTTTTGGAAGTAGATTGCCAGGTTTGCCCCACTAGTTTATCTTAGTCTCAATAAAACCTGCTTAGATCACAGCAATGCAGAAGCCTCCACACACCAACAGGTGGTGGCTATACATGAGGTGCACTGGCCAGAAATTGAACCTGAATCTCTTTCATGGAAGGTGAGAATTCTACCTCTGAACCACCACTGCCCCATAGAGACATGCTAGAACTGATAGTTGAAATGGTTTCCTGGGAGGATTATACCAGGAAGATCATTCTAATTGCCAGAATCACATCACTGAGAGATGGTGGTAAGACCTTGGAATTGGTTCATGTCCTAGTTAATGGGAACCTCATCACTGCCTGGGCTGTGGTGAGGCTCAGGTGCACCATACAACTCCAGTAACAGAACAGTGATAAAATTAGGCTATTGGCTATGAATATTATGTACTTAATGATTTTCTACATCGTAATGTTGTTGCTATTTTTCTGTTGGTTCCAACTCATAGCAACCATATTAGGTAACATTTTATGGAGATGAGGTGATCAGATAAGCTTTCTCTATAGAAAAACCCTATCTTGAGAGTCACTATCTGAGAACAAAACTCTATTATCTGACAATTTTCTCACTTATTTGTAACAAGGACACTTAAGCACACAATTAGAAAGCCTCAAGATGGAGAGTATAGTCTAGTTCTAGCAGACAGGATAATAACATCACTGGGAATTAATAAACTGTGTGTCATGTATGTACACAAGGCGACTTCTTTTGAAAAGGAAAACTTGGTCCTCTCCTCTCCCATGGTTGTGCAGTGACAGAGATGCTATTGTGCCTCCTTAGCAGTTTAAGATTTTTAATCCAGAAAAATCCTTTATCAGTGTGATCTTTTCCCTCTTAGGAGAGCCTATGGTATTCTTGTCCAGCTGTTCAAAGACGATCAGGCAGAACGGCCACGAAAACTGTTTCTGGGTTAAGTGAGTGGAATTTTAAACTTACTGGCTTTGCTTTCAGTTTCTAGGCTGTCATGGGTTCAGACTCTCTGGGAAAGTTGCTTAAGAGCCACAGGGATGGTCCCCTCTTCTTTGAGATTTAGGAACTACCATTGGAAGCAAGGCAATTTCTCGCACTTAGCTCAGTTTTGCCATGGTTGATGTCAGTGCTTCTTAAACTTGAATGTGAGAACAAGTTAAAATGTTGAAGCAGGAGTGGGTGTGCCCTGGGGTTCTGCATTTCAATGAAGCTCTGGGGTGAGGCTGCTACTGTAGTTCTTGGGCTGACCACGATCATGCAAAGCTACATAGAGGTACCACTACCAGTCTGAGTTTGTTGTATGTGGTGAATTGTGCTTTGCTGGAAACTATGACAGTGCATTTAATATATCCATGGTGGTTTCAACGGAGATTCCAGAGTAAGACTAGTAAGAAAGGCCTGGATATCTATATCTGAAATTAGCTAATTAAAACCTTATGGATTCCAACAGAATATAGACTGATACAGTCCTGGATGTTGACCCCTAGGGTGGATGGCATTCAAAACATACAATGGTCACAGCAGTGTACTCGGTCATGAGAATCGCACAAGACCAGGCGATGTTTTATTGGCTATGGTGTTGCTGAGAGTTGGAGCCATCCCCAACAGAAACTAACGGCAGTGACACAGTGATAGAAGTAATGAAGGAGGAGATGAGATCAGATAAATCCAAGATTATTCACTTAACCTCAAGAACTTGAATTCTTGATGTATGTTGCCGTTAGTGATGACGAGTAGTCCCGACTCATAGAATTTCCAAGACTGTAAATCTTTGTGGAAGCAGAAAGTCTCATCTTTTTCCCAGGGAGCTTCTGGTAGGCTCGAACCACTGACCTTGTTGTTTGCAATCCAATGCTTATCCTATGGACCCACCATACTCACCAGTCCTAGGTGAAGCTTGCCAAAAAGTCAGTTGACTTTTTTTTTTTTTTTTTTTAACTATTTTGGCCAATATTTTAAAATACTCATTCAATGGCATAGAAGTTCTGACAGTAACTTGTGATACATAGAATGTTATTGCTGTTAAGTCACAGGGCCCCTGTATAGGGTTTCTGAGGCTGTTAAGCTTTGCAGGAGCAGAAAGCCTTGTTTTTTTTTCCCCCCAGAGTGGCGGGTGGACTTGAACCACCAACCTTGTAGTAAGCAGTCTACTGCTAATCCTATAGAGCCATTGTGCTCTCTCCTCATGTGCAGAGTGGAAGAATGACAAACTTACCTCTCAGAGCTGTTCTCACTGAAAAGGAAGAAAATGGCATCATCTTGGAAGCTTCCTTTGAAATGAACTTTACTCTTTCTCTCGTAACAAAATGGGATCAGTTCATAGAAACTTTATTTCTGAGAAGTTATATGCAGGTGAAAATGTGACGTTCTCATTTGTATCATCTTGCAGGATTTCTTTAGAACGTTAAAGAAAGCAGTCAGCATCAGTCTGATCTTCATACGCTTTTTAGTGTTCAGTTCTATTCAGTGTGAGGTCCTTTCCACTCAGGTGTCTCAACCTTCGAGTTGAAATTCTGCTTAAGATACTTAGGTGGATACAGTTGATAGAATGGCTTGTTAGTTCAATACAAATACCGTTACCATTGGCAAGCAGAAAAATCATGTAATATAAAACCACTTTGATTTGTACAAAGATATAGTGCAATTGAACCCAAGTGGCAATTAATAAGTTAGCATGGAATGGAGGAGATGAAACAAGAAATAATTTACATGTTTTAAATTCTGCATTTCCACCCTCATGGCACGCTTAATTCCAGTTTGGGAAGTATTATAGAGTAAGCTTATTGAGTCTAGTAGAAATGCTTAGCTTAGCAGCTAGCTGTTGTTGTTGCTAAGCGCCATCGAGTTGGTTCTGACCCATAGCAACTCTGTATAGGCTTTCTAAGGAGCAGCTGGTGAGCTTGAACCGCTCACCTTGTAGTTCAAATGGCTTTACAGTCTGGTGCATTAACCCACAGCACCACACCAGGACTCCAGCAACTAGCTAGGGATAGGAAAAGGGGAGCACGGTAACCATATTTAAGGTCTTCTCAGAAAATGAGTCAAAGATGATTAGTATTATTAGTTTGTGATCCTTAGCAATATTCAGAAGGCATGGCTGGATTTGTTCTGATAGACTTCTTGAAATTGCTCATGTTTCTAGAGACATTCATGAATGCAGACAGAATTTAAGTAATGTGATTTCTTGGCTTTGTATCTCTAATTCTTCTCTCTGAGCAGAGAACCTTAACAAATCTACTCAAAAGGGAACATCTTCTATTCTTCATGAGGTCTTAGAAGATGAAGACAAAGGATAAATATCAAGAGGGAAGCAGGCTGAGGAGGAAAAACAAACTCTCTGAGAATGTGTTGTCATGCTTTCTTTCAGTTACATTGTCCTGCAGTCAGAGTAGCTGAGAAAGAATTGTTGGTCCTTGGTCATCCCAATTACCCAGTGACCAGTTGCTGTGGTATCAACCCTGACTCATGGCAACCCCAGCTGTGTCACATAGAAATGGGCACCAGTGGCTGATTATCAGAAGTAGATTGCTACAACTTTGCCTTCTCAGGTGCCTCTGGGTAAAATTAAGCTTCTAACCTTTTGGTTAGCAGCCAGGTGTGTTACAGTTTGCACCACTCAGAGACTCCAATTGGTCAATTTTATAGTAGAAAGCCTTTTAATGAGTCCTGGTGTGGCGCTGTGGGTTAGTACACTGGACTGCAAGGTCGGTTAGCAGTTCAAGCTCACCAGCCACTATACTGGTCAGAACTGACTCAACAGCATGTAACAACAACGACAGCATTCAGCATGCTTTGACACATACTTCTGATGTTATTCCTGTTGTTGTTGATATTATTACTACTATTTCTGTCCCAGTTGGAACAGAAATTTTCTTAGGAAGTACCAAATGACCAGCTTTAATCCATGCTGGATATTGTCATGGGCCTAAACAGCACATGCATAAATACAGTCAGATATATAGCGTATCTTGCACAAGAACAGAACTTGCCAACAGATTTTTGTGACTATTACATAAAGTAGTACTTAAAGGACTATAGAACATTTGACACATGCTTTGACGTTGGAAGTTTTCCATTTATGAGGCCAAATTCTGTGTTCCTTATCTTGACAATGTCTAATTTGGGTTGACATTTGACTTTCAAGAAATATCTTCTGAATCTTTTATCCTTATTAGGATATTAATTTTACAGAGAACTTAAAAATGTCTTGGAAGTTATTTGATCTTGGGACATAACCAGTTTCTTTAAAAATAACAGAAGCTAATATAATAAAAGCCATCAGGTTTGGATATTTTATGAAAATGTTTTAATTCAACTGTTTCTTTGGAATGTAGTAGTCATAGTTTGGAATTTTAAGTTACAGTTCAGTTCTATGTGGTTTTGACGCTACTCAGTGTCTGAGAATACAAATGTCATTTAAAGTTAAGGCTTTGCTGTTCACTTTGAAACAACAATTTACAAGTGTCATATTGTCATAGAAAATAAAAATTTCTGTAAAAAAAATTTGCACAAAATTTTATGATGGTACAAAACATGAAGCAATAATATACCAGTAAAATGAAAACATTTTACTACAGAAAGTTTTTATAGATTTCAATAAAGAAAAAAAAATATGTTATTTTACACCTTTAAAAATTACAAAACAATCTAAAACAATATAAACTGAACATTTTGTAACACTGCCTTTACAAATTAAAAACTTTATAAACATATAATTTTTAAATATATTTATCAGTGCAAGATACTTTAAAATTTAAAGTTGCAGTATCATTTTTCCTTGGTTGAGGAACATTACATCTGTTGCCTTGGAGGGGGTGGTGGTTGGGGACAAAACATTTCATATTAAGTTTTTTTCTTCCTGATATGATTCTAACTGAATGAATACTTCTGGGGACAAAAACCAATTCTTCTTTCACATTAATCAATACTTTCCTGGAAACAAACGGCATTCGCAATCCAATTATGTCATGAAAAAGAGATTGTTCTGACTATATATGATGCAAATGTGACTCTCCCAAGTATGTCTGAGCAAGATCCATAGCAATGCTACAGAGGACAGTCTTCAAAATGACCGTGTACCACACGGCACGACACAGCTACACAGAATCCAACCAAAGCTGCTTAGGCTTAGCGCACGCACCGCCTTAATACGATATTCACTTAATTTTGCTGTTAGAGGCTTAGCAGCTCTCGCCAACCCCAACATCAGCCTTTTCTTCATGAGCCATGTGAATTATTTCTAGAAGCATTCATTCAAGTTTCCGGTTTTTTCCCCCCAGGGTTACTGCTGAATGGATTATTTTAAGCATTTGTTTTGACTTTGCTCATTTTCCCCTCTCTTATCTTAAAATACTAAACCTCCAGGCATCATGATTTATAGTTTCTTTCTTAAATTAACTATTCTTCCTTCCACTTCCCTTGTTTGACTCTATCAAAATAGGAATGTTCTCAGGGACAATTTTTTTGCATATTTGGATATAAAATCTTATGAGGTTTTTTTTGTTGTTGTCCATTTAGGAGACTTTTATTCAGCCTTCCTTCAGGTCTCACTTGAAAGCCAATTAATATTATTCCTTCCCTCAATTTATCACTATTCTATTCAACTGAAACATTCTATCGATGAGCATTCTAATCAGGGTAGATGGACAAATGACTTCAGGAAAAAAGATACTGTCACTTTAACCAGTTAACAAGAAAACCAAAGTTAGACTTTGGAGGGCAAAGTTAGGAATTTCCCTTATTTATTTATTTTAAAACATAAAGCCTAGTAAAATTGTTTGCCATTCCCAGCAAGGTTAAAGCTGCAAGTTTCTTTTCTGGACAATGGCAAATGCTTAAAATTCTAAGAGAGAGAAAAAAAAGAGACAGAGAGATAGGAAAGAGAGAGAGAGTGAGAGAGAAAGCGTTTACATTTGAAAATACATTCCATATGAAAGAACAATAAGTGAGAATATTGCAGCTTTATACAAAAGGGTCGAGAGACATGAAATTGAATGATGGAAAAAAAGCAGAACAATTAAGCCACATTTGCCAAGTCTTCTGAGCCCTTGCCTTCCCGGGGGCTGACGTCTCACACTAAAATATACTTTCTTCTTAGTCAGTGAGCCACCGGGGGGGTTTGATTAAATAGTAGGGCTTTCACCAGTGAGAAACAGAGTGAGTCATGAATGGAACACAATGAGAACTAGTACAAACAAAAAGGCACTTGATAGGACATAGACTAGCCAGTGCCAAGGAGTTTTCATTTCGGTTGTCGGTAGTACACCCAGTTACCAGCAGTGTTTGGTGATGGCACAATTTTCTGCATGAAGTCCACAAGCACGAGGTTTAATACAACACTGGAAAACATCAAGAAAATTTGACGGTATTGCTTCGTAAACAGAGCTGACACACTATACCATACCGGTACTGAGGCTACAGTACTTCGAAAAAGAAAACGTTCTAATCCTTCTTTGTCTATGCACAACGCGGGCAATTATACACAAGTACAGCTGCACCAGTCCACGGAAATGCAGTTAGTCTAATATTTTTTCTGGGCACTGGGTTAAAGGTAGCATGTCCATCAAAAGGGCCCCACTGAATACACTTGGTGCCAGCATCTTGGATTTTGCACAGTTTCCAAAAAGAAAAAAAGAATCCATAAAAGGGAAAGGAGAAAGAGAAGAAGAGAGAGAAGGGAAGTTGAAAAATGAATTCTTAAGTCCATAATACTTGGTCTCAACACCAGCATCTGATTATTCAACTGAAACCAACAGAAAAACCCCCAAAGCTGAATGTACATGATTCCGATTGTTCTCACTTGCTCATGTCTGTCGGCTATACTCATTGACGCTCCTGAGAAAAGCCTGGCTCAGCGTCCTCAACGCACTTCCCAGCTTGTACAGTAAGAGAAGATCCAACAGTTTCCCAGCACGCTCAAGTTCCGTCCTTCCAATTCAGTTCTCCCACTCGTCTTTCCATCTCCACCTGCCTTCATGCCTCCGAGTAAGTATTCTGTGCATTCAGTTTGTCTTTTTTCAACTTCACACCATCCACAAGTTCAAAGTTATAGTTCTCCAAGGCAGACAAGTTTCTTTCGGACATGCCGTTGTGCCAACAGGCACAATACAGCACAACCCCACAGACAGCCCCCAGAAGGACCCCCAGGGCGCTCATGGCAATAATTGTGATGAGGATCGGATCCAAGGTCTTCAACACATTGCCTGGCTTCCTTGAGATGTTCTCATCACCTTCCACTGCACCTTTGTATCCTGGCGTACTCCCTAAGGAGGGAAACAAAATTGGCTTCATGGATACTGCCAACACGACGACCCAGAGTGGACAAAACTGAGTGGGGGGTGGGGACGGAGGTTAGGAAAAGGACTAATCACATGGTCTACTTTTGTCTGTCCTCTTCCAAGTAGATTATTGAAGCAGAGCTTGGCTTTTTCATTGTCTGAAACCACCAAGACTTAATGTTTGACTCGTGGGAGATGAGGATATTGGGAAGTTGATGTTGTGATCCTTGCATAAAGTTTTAGCACATGAAAAATAACCAATTCTAGCTAAACAGTGAGGGCTATCTTCTAAACATATTCAGATGTCCTGCAGGCCTGCATCTGAGTTAGATTGAAATCTGTGTTTATAGTCCTGGGCCAGGTATGAAGTCCTTAAGCTTTGCAAGATGCTTAATCACAGGCTGTGTCTAGGGGAGGTATGTCAAAATTCCCTGTTTCTTTTCCTGATTCCAAAACCAGACACAAGGAGACCTTCGGCACTGCCCTTGCGGTTCAGTTTCCAGGTCCGGGCACAGCTTTACACATGTGCTTGTTCTCCCACGTGTACAATCTTCAAACCAAACAACAATTTCCCCTCAAGCCTACTGTGGTTTCACTCAAAGAGGAGTGAGAGCCTTCAGAGCATGCAAAGGCTTGCAGCTAACATTCAGAAAGTGTTATGGCTAAAATCTGGAAAGTGTCTGGCCTATGTTGAATAGAGCACATTTAATAATCAGAGTCCTTGCAGCCTTCATTGTTTTACTGGAGACGGTTACACTACTTTGCAATACAGTCACTAGGGAAATGTTTTCTTTAGGGTGGAACATGAGAAATTATTAACATGGGAGTCTTGAGCCTAATTATCAGGGACTAGAAATGGGACTAAAATGTTAATATGCAACATGCATGGTATTTACTTAATGGTGTTCAGATCAACTAAGATTCTCATCAAAGAAAACTAAAAATATGAGACACGAGTCCCTAAACAGGGGCAAACAAGCCATGGGGGCATAGTAATAGTCCACCCTTGATGAAGTATTCTTTTGAAACAATCTCTCATAAAGTTTACCTTTCAATGTGGACTTTGTAGCTGAGCTAAACTAGCCACATGTTAATATGACTAATAGCATCCTGCAGTATTTATTTGGCTCTATCAAGTTTGTGTCTGGTTGTAAAAGGACTGCACGTCGAACAGTAACATATGTGGAGACACCATGATACTCACGGTGTGGCACTGCCTGCAGCAGCCATCTATCCCCACAACTGCTAACCAGGAGGTACGGAATCCTCTGGGGATATTGAACGTCTTGTATGTGATCATAAAGCAGTGCTCAAATGAAAACACATGACATTAATTTGTCTAACAATGATGTTATTCCCTAATTAGCTGTAATACTTTGAGCAAATTGGCTCTCTGAATTTCAGTTTTATCATCTGTAAAATGGGGATCGAATACCTTACGGAAAAGATAGTGGTGCCAATCAAGTAAGATAACAGAAGTACTTGGAATCTAAGTGATGGTGGTGGTTGTGTGCTATTGAATATGTTCTCACTCCTAGTGACCCTGTATACGGTTTCTGAGACTGTAAATCTTTATGGGAGCAGAAAGCTTGAGTTTTCTCCTGCAATTCCTCAAAAAATTCTTATTATTAGCAGCACTATCATTATAATCATTATAAAACCATGGCCACGAAAGATAAAAGGGAGATGATGAATCAAACATAACAGATACCTCAGAAGTTAGGTTTGTGCCTGGTTGATAGCGACCAGACACAAGAATTGGGGTTAGCTGTAGATTACAGTATAAAAATTATCATAACTCACTGGGCAAGTCACCACCTTTTTGAGCTCTCACTTCCCATAATTGTCAAAAGAAAGTGTCTTATGTGCTTACCCTCTAAATTTCCCTCTGGGCTTAGAGGGGGACACAGAGGATAAGCAAGTGAAGCACTGTTTTCCTCCAGGGTCCCACTGCATATACAAACTGTACCTGTCACAGACAATCCAATCCAACTCAACGTCATGGACATGGCTCTTCATGTTACATGAACTGAACGGATAATCCCAATGTACTTGAGTTCCAGAAAACATCTTTAGTGGAAACTACAGTTAATTTTTTAAATTGGTTATCAAGATAAATTTACCTGCTTCGTTCATTTTAGTTTCTGGGTGCTTTTTATCCAGGTCTATCGGTTCTACAAATCAAACAAAATTGGAAGAGATTATTTGAGTTGTCAACAAAATACAATATGCACAAACTTCATGAACCCTTACACACACATCCACACATACACCACATACTTCCAGTGCTTGATATAATCAGATTCCACCAAATAACCCTAAAACAGTAGAGAAGCAATACTGAAAGACTATGGAATTGAAGGCTCGGGGAACAACACTTCCTTTAAAGTCTCTCGTCTAAATTAGCAGAATGTGTTTTAGAAGAGAAAGGTGGAGAGACTGGGGTTTTGGCATCTGGAGTGTGGGAGAAATCTTGTGAAAATAGGTAATAAAAAAAGGGCTTGTACATATGGCTACCATCTTGCACTTGGTAGATATTTGCTTCCTATGTTTGACAGTATTAGTTGGGCTTCTCAAATACGATACCATCTTTCTGAAGTAAGAGATTGAGTCCTGTGTTGTTAATAAAGAAAACACCCTGGAAGGAGTTGATGTGGCTCTGGAAGGAACTAATGTGTCCCACACTCACACAGACCCTGTGTAAGGTTTCTGTCAGTGGCTGGTGGGTTTGAACTTTCAATTTTGCAGTTAGCAGTCCAGTGATTTTCCTATAGCTCCACACTAGGGACTGTGGAAGGAGTAAGGTCCTGGTATTCCTATGGTGGTGGTTGTTGTTAAGTGCCATCAAATCAGTTCTGAGACTAGGGCAGGGATTTTTCAGTATTTTGTTCACTACTGTGTCCACAGCATTTAGAACACTGTTTAGCACATAATAGGAGCTTCAGTAAATATTTGGTACATGAATGATTGAATGATTAATAAATAGTTGTTAATTACGAATCGGGCTGCGAACCTTAAGGTCAGCGGTTCAAAACTACCAGCCACTCCGCGGGAGAAAGATGAGGCTTTCTACTCCCATAAAGATTTACACCCTCGGAAACCCTGTACAGGGTCGCTATGGGTCGGAATCGACTCGATGGCACTTAAAAACAACAACAACAACAACAATTTCATATCATCCATGGGTAACTATTCCAGAACATATGAGATGAATTGATGAACACAATTATCTTGTTGCTAAATTCTGACAAGTCAGTTCCAACTCACAGTGACCATGTATAGGATTTCTGAGGAGCAGCTTGTGTGTTTGAACCACTTGTGGTTCGCAGTACAGTGCTTACCCTACAGTGCTACACCACAACTACCTTTGTTATTGTTAAGTGCCATTGAGTAGGTTCTGACTCTTAGCAACCCTTAATAGGGTTTCCGAGGAGCAGCTGGTGAGCTTGAACTGCCAACCTTGCATTTCAAACTGACCTTGCAGTCCAGTGCATTAACTCACAGTGACACACCAGAACCTTAGGCATCGTTTAATCAACACAGCAACAGAGATTCAGTTTTAGCAGAGCTATAATTGCTCCAAGATCAATGCCTAATAGCAAGTACAGCTATGTAGATAAGTCATATGAAACACAAAGGCCAACAGCACTACCTTAGCCTGTAGCATGTGGCATACTGCTTTACAAGGCATGTAGTATGTGGTCAGTTAAAACTAACTGAACTGAGTTGAGTTTTCTTTGGTTTTGTTTGTGGAGGTTGTTCTGACCTTCCAAAACTATCATCATACCATGTTCAGATTGCAATCAGAATGCAACTATACTACATATATAGTGTAACTATATGAAGTAAATATTTCAGCAGTTTTGTAGGCTTGCAAAACATGGGTAACTGTAATTACAGATTATGGGTAATTTGTAAATAGTTGCAACTAAACAATTAAGTCACCTTGTTTTTGTTTTCTGGTTAACTTTTTCTAAGTAGGATATCTTTAAAACATATTTCCCCATACAAAGAAGCAAGCTTTTATTCAGTGCATTTTCCCCAAAATTTATTCAATTGGCCCTATCAAATTATTGTCACTTTAGGGATTACACATACTCAGTATATTGTATTTTAAAAGCTTTGTAGGTTGCTGAAATGATCAAAAACACATAATAACTAACAGGCATCCTTTGTCTTAAATTTGCCCAATAGGCTTATTCCATTTTGTTAAAATTAACATCCTATTATATAATGATATATAACAAAAGTTTAATGTAGCAAATGGAGCCTAAGACTAATTACTGTGCTATTATATTGCCATTAGTGATGCTATTTATAATTATATACTAAGAACTAGGGAATATGAGTTTTTGTTTTTTATGTCAGACTTTTATCTTGTTAGTTGTTGTTGTTGTTAAGTGCCATCGAGTCGGGTCCGACCCATAGCGACCCTGTACAGGGTTTCCGAGGGTGTAAATCTTTACGGGAGTAGAAAGCTTGTTAGTACCAGACCAATAAAGACCAACTCTGAAAATACTAAGCCAAGTCTCAGAATTCCATTTACTCTTGAGTCATTTCAACTATTTTTAGAGTCAGAAATGTCTACTGACTTATAATAATGCAGAGAATTATGGCTTCTATGATTCACTACCCATGTAACCCTCATTAAATTCACTGCAATCAAAAGTTTTCAAAGGCCGGCAGTTTTGTTTATATGTTCAGGTATTTGGAATTATCCAGCTGTTTGAACTTAACACTTTCCATCAAAAGTTCTGGTATGGCACATATCACTATATACGTTGCAAGTCTTTCTTCTTTGCCATGATCACTGATTCTATTTTAGTTATGCCATTTTATAGGCACCCAGCAGACAATTGAACAGACTATGCAGGTTACGTAATGGAGTTGTTGCTGTTAAATGCTGTCAAGTCGGTTCCGAGTCAGAGCAACCCTGTACTGGGTTTCTGAGACACGGCTGGTGGGTTTGAACTGCCGACCTTGCTGTTTAAGCCAACCTTGTGGTTAATGGAGCAGCTAATGGTCAGTTGGCCAGATTTTATGTCCTGTTGCATTGGACTAGGCCTCCCATATGGTGGGTGTGTCTAGAGCCAACATAGAAATTCTCAAGTGGGCAAGACAAAGACCATCATATATGGAAAGACTGGCTCTGGGCAACTATTTTCTTGGTTTCAACAGTAACTCATACTTACTTGCACAGTCCTCTTGTGAAATGTGGTTATTGATGCTAATGTCATCAACTGCAATCCCGCCAAGATTTCCTTTTCCGATTTCGCCCTCAAAAATCACCTAACAAAATGAGATCATTTTCACAGTGTTTCAGTGTGAGTCCCAAATAGTAGTACTGACAAATGCTTGTTCAACGCCAGTATGGCACATAAATTAAATTCATGAGATTTCACGTAAGAACACACTGTGTTCATCAATCAGTATCTGCTGCCTGGTCATGGCAGAAAACTTCCCTTCATACTCCTTTTATGATACCAAACTTCAAGCTGGAAAAATCAGTAAATTAAAGGCAGGACCCATTTTGACAACCCAGAAATAAATTGTAAAGTAGCATTTTCCCTTCTTTTGCAGTAGATTGGTTCAATTTCCTTAATCTACAGGACTGAAATACGCTACTGAGATTATCTGCAATGCAACAATATCTCAGGTTCATGAAGCGACTACAGTCATTTTTGAAATAGTTCCCCCACCACATTTGCATTATTGTTAGTAGCTGCCGCTTATCATTGTTGTTGTTAAGTGCCATCGAGTCGATTCGAACCCTTAGCGACCCTGTATAGGGTTTCCGAGGAGCGGCTGGTGAGCTTGAACCGCTGATCTTGCAGTTCAAACGGCTCTGCAGTCTGACGCATTAGCCCACAGTGCCACACCAGGACTCTATGGCAACCTCATATTTTACAGATTAGAACTGTTGGCCATAATCTCTAACAAAGGCAGGTGGCCAAACCTTTTCTTCCAAGGAGCCTCTGGGTGGTTTGATCTTCCAACATTTAGGTTAGCAGCAGACTGTAAACTACTTGTACCATCCAGGCTCGCTCTTATTTACCTAACTTTCAAAATATCACCTCAGAGTTCCTGAAGCAACTTGCCCTCCCCAACCAAGGTAAGAGATGGTACCTGATAAAGTTTCAGAGACTTGTGAAGCAAAACACGCCCTTCCTTCCAGTGATCTCCTTGGTGTCCGATGACCATCCAGACCAACTGGTCATATTCGTCTGGCTTCTGGTAGCGTAATTTGACCCTCAGTGTGCCAACGTGGGAACCCGACATGTGGTACCAGAATGTCAGGCAGTGGGCTGAGTTCTGGGAATAAACCACAGGACTCACCAGACGAGCCACCTTACCCTTCTGGTTCTCGTCAGCTTGGGAATAGATGAAGTTACCATCTCCTGCTGTGACAAAACACTGTGTTAGGAAGAATGGCCACATTTACAACTCCTTTGTCATTTTGCTTTCAAGTCCCACTAATCAAAATTTCTCTCCCAGGCTGAGCACCAAGAACCCAAACACACAGGTAAATAAGAGAGAGACGTGTGGGGAAGCCTCTTTGGCACCCAAGGCTTTGCTGTTAAGACTCTTAAAATGGACATCTGAATAAGAAGACTGTAAAACAGGGACACTACTTACTTGGAATGCACTGTCATATGAACACAGACTATAGCTCAAGTCTACATTAGCACCGCTGCAGGCCAATTGAAAGCACAGAGCGGAATGAAGAGAACTCCTCTAAGAGAATTGACTTTCACGCCATTGGAAAACCACTTCGGCATCATGATTTGAGCACCAACTTTCCATGGACTATTGAGATGAAGTCTGTGTGTGTGTGAACTGGGTGAGGGTTTACTCAGAAGATCATCAGTTTTTCATTCATTCATTTTGCTTCATCTTTTCATTCATTCACTTTGCTTCATCTCATTGATGGCAATTCCCTCAATGTAATACCACGTATCCCACTTCCTCCAGGTTTCCTGTTTCCATTCGTACTTTTTTCTGGACCCTATTGCTGAACTTTGTCCCTGGGTTTGTTGTTGTTATGTGCCGTGGAGTTGGTTCTGACTCATAGCGACCCTATACAGGGTTTCCAAGACTGTAAATCTTTATGGGAGCAGAAAGCCTCATCTTTCTCCTGTGGAACAGCCGGTAGTTTCGAACTGCTGACCTTATGGTTTGCAGCCCGATTTGTAACTACTATGCTACCAGAGCTCCTTTTGTCCTTGGATAAGTTCTACCATTTTGATCTCAAATGGATGATGACCCTAAGGTGTTTGTAAAGACACATTCTTAGTAATCATCAGAACTGTCGAAAGTCTGGTTGATGATACTTCACTTATACGTATTTACATACATGTTGTTAATAAAGCTGCAGTTTTGCCTAATAATCTAGCAATCACTATTTTATATTTTTTTCTTTTTTTCCTAAATCCAGATGATTTTTCCCCCTTGTTTATTTCATGGCATATAAATTCCATCAACACATCTGAAAGATTGATTCTCAATCAATCTCTACTCCTGTTGGATATGGGTTTCTGGTTTAAGAACGGGCAAGGTTGTAGTTTTGAGGCTGATTAGAATGTGCCATTTGGGCAAAAGAGTTGCTGAGCTGCCTGGACTAACTTGGCTTTGCTTTTAATTACCCCCAGTGGGAATGTTGCCTCCTGCCACCACCTGGTCTAAACACACAACTCGTGTTTCACTGTTTGCGCTGCAAATAGAAATGACCTCCTCTAATGTCTCACCTGATGTAAGCGTGAATCGGAGGCTCTGGCCTGAATGGGCAGCTGCTATGTTTTGTTTGCTGCCCAAGAGGTTGGTGTTATTTGTGAGATACTTTTTCAGTGTGCATATATGGGCATGCCCTTGTATCTGCTTGTCTGTGCCACCGGTGGAAGTGGGATGTGTTCGGGGATAGATTTCTTCATTTATCTGGCTGCTTACAGAATACTTGGAATGAACAGAACACTCTTCTGTGAACCAGTAAGTGGAATAATAAAAGAACGCTGGAAATAAGTCACAGCTCAAGGTGTCTGGTCAATGCTGACTGTGGGAAGTGTCCACCTGTGACAGAGCAGACTCAGTCACTTCTGAATTTGCGTTACCTCACATTACCAGAATGTGCCATGTGGCTGTGTGGCATTACCATGCTACGGAGATGAGCAGGGTATCCGTTTACCCAAGACAGATTAAAAAATGTCCCCCTCATCTTAAGGGAAAAGATCAAGTTTGACATGCCTCAGAGGAGAAACAAGTTGAGCTCACGAGGTCTACTTGAGTAAAGGGGATGAAAAGTGGACATGGGACAGGGGAAAAAGTTGCCTGAGGAGTATCTCATGGCCTCTGCCTTGCTGACATTGTGGCTTTAAAAAAACACACAAAACTTTGCCCATGCCTTCAGCTTCCAGTCCTTCAGTGTGTTCTCACCAGCCCCAGTATGCCCACATGCCTCCACATGGCACCCAAGCAAACCACACTTGATTCCTTTTTGCGCATGTTACCTCAGTTTATTCCAAGCCCAGCTTAGATTGTCTCTAAGACATGGCTACTCTCTCTGCTTCTCTGAGCCCTCCTGTTATGGGTTGACTTGTGTTCTCCCCAAAAGATAGGTTAAAGTCCTCACTCTGGGACTTCATCCTGGTGACTCTTTGGGAACCACACCCTTGAAGTTGAAGGTATCAGTGAAGTCAATTGAAATGCTGTCATAACAGATTAGGGTGGGTCTTAACCCCAAGAGGACAAGAGACCCAGAGGGAAAATGCCCATGTGGAGACTGAGGCAGGGATTGAATTGCCAAGCCAATGAGGGACTAAGATGGTCAGGAATCTCCAGAAGCTAGGAAGAGGCAAGGAAAGATGTCCCCCTGGTGCTTCCAAAGAGAGCAGGGCTCTGCTGACACCTTGATTTCACACATTCAGCTCCAGAATGGTGAGGGAACACATTTCTGCTGTTTAGAAACCCCATGTGTGGTGCTTTGTTAGGGCCGCTTTAGGAAACCAAGACACCTCTTAGCTTATTGTTTACCATCATTTTCCCCTCTGCTTTGGAAGCCCCACTGCTTTGTAATTACACTGTGAGTTCCTCAAGGTCAGGGACAGCCTCCTTTACACCAGCAGCCCATGCCCACTCCAGTCTGTTCAAACAAGATGTGCTCAGCGAACAAGCAACAGATGCTGGATTTCAAGACTCCACGGTGAGGAGATACCTAGCTTCACTCTTAAGGGTCAAATGAAGAACACCAAGTGGAGGTTCATTTAAATAAGTCCAAAACTGGGTCACAAAATATTTTAGCTGGATATTTTTAATTAATTGTAAAAAAATAAAGGAAGAAAACTCTTGATATCTGATTTGTAAAGTTTCTTCAAACACATTATAAATAGGTCACATATAACATGTGGTGTCATTGTATGTGTTTGTGCTTGCTAATGTTAAGCAAACCTAGATGGGATTGCTTAACATCTAGCTTTGCTTAACATTAGCAAACCCCTGCCTTTCGGATGTTAGGCCCACACGTCTCTCAGAGACGGATTGCTTTTTGCTAAGACTGCAGGAGGTTATTTCTAGTACAGACAGACCTGGCATGATAGCTGAATAAAATTGGGTGGCAAATCTTTCTTAAGGGAAGACAGCACTCTTCAACTGTTAATTTAAGACAAGTTCTACTTGCCTCATAGCCCAACACATAAAGCGCTGATATTTTCCTTTTCAAGGGTTTTATCACAGTTCAGGGTCAGGAACTCTGTCTTCATTTTCTCAATTAGCACTTTACTTCTTCAAGCCTTTTAGCTTTTGTCTCTGGCTAACATACCTTTTAACCTCTTTTGAATGTCAGATCCTACTGAGCCATTTTGCTTCACTTTGCATCAATTTTTCCACCATTACTGCCTTCAATTCAACTAATTGCATTTAGTTAATTTGATGCCTTTTATATGTACAGTGCCATTTACAGTCAAAGTATTTTAAGTTTTCTAAAACTGCTTGTCTTAAGATTCAATTGAAAGTGTCTCAGGATTGAAGGAGTCCAATTTTATCCAATTTCCTTGTCATTCTCATTAGGCAAGGAGGTAGCCGTGGTGGAAGGAGGCCTATTCAACCTATTTAATGGTTGTATTCACTGGGGGGAAAAAAGGGAACAGCAAAATGAAAAAAACATGAAGTATCCTCTTCCCATCAACTGACCCAGTGGCCCACTCTTCCCAAATACCAGCTCGGGGAGAACTTGGCTTAATGAGATTTCTAAGCATCAGCCAATGCTCCTTTGGGTATCTTTTGGGAAGCCACTCTTTGAGTAAGCTGTGCTTGGAAAGTATCACTGAGTAGGGTAGCAGTTTGTGGTTTAGAAATTTGCTGTGTGTGTGATTTGCCGGATACTGCTGGGTCTATATACTGTATCTCAAGATGGGTGATAAAAACAATTAGGAGGAAGACAGAGCACTGTGGTGTATAAAATCATTCACCGGCATGGCTGTCAGCACCTTCTGTCCCCCAGTCCTTCCACTCCAGCTTTAGAAAATGAGGCTAAAATCTTAGAAAGGAAGGAAGGTGGCATGAGTTGTAAAGTGGAAGGCAGTAGACGTTCCATCTGCTCAGAGGCAGTGGACTAGATTAAAAATCTTTCTCCAAAGAACAAGAATCCTACCCTACTTCAAGGGTTAAGAAAGTGTCAACATTGTTGTTGTTAAGTGCCATTGTGTTGGTTCCAACTCATAGCGAGTTGGAACCAACTCAGTGGCACTGTATACAGTTTCCAAGGAGCGGCTGGTAAATGAACCACTGACCTTGTGGTTCTAATTGACCTTGTGATCCAGGGCTTAGACTTACTTACTTACTTATTGCTTATTTAGTTAAAAATAAAAAATAAAGATGACAGTGTTGCTTCAAAACTAATTCAGACTTGGGGTATGTTGGATGATATAGAGAAAACAGGATTTCTAATTGTTGAAGCTGGATTAGATACATATGGAGTTGATGATACTATTTTTCATTTTTAATATATTAGCAATTTTTATTATAAACATTTAAAGAAAGTCCTTCTTGTCAACAAGCACTGACCACGTATTCTGACCCAGTTTGCTGGTTTTCAGAGAGGTAACTGAGTGGTCACATAAAGTGGACTTTCTTCATTACTTGATCTTAGCACATCTCTACCAGAGAAAATGTTTACTTGCTGCTCTTAGTAGCCACTGAGTTAATTCCAACTCATTCAAAGGGTTTTCAACTCTGTAATCTTTTGGACTCAAGCATGGCAACAGTAGTGACGTTGGCCCAGGATCGGGTAGTGTTTTATTCTGCTGTGCATGAGGTCATTATGAATCGATTCCGACTCGATGGCACCTAACAACAACAACAGCAACACTCTTTTGGAAGCAGATTGTCAGGTTTGTCTTCCAAGGTACCTCCAGGTAGGTTCAAACCACCAACCTTTTGGATAGTAGTTGAGGGTTTAACCCAGGGACTTGGGTTAATGCTCTATAGTATTGTCCTAACCCCTCCACTTCACAGACACCAGTAAATCTTCACAAGAAAAGCCTTCTCCGATAGAAAAAGAATTTGTAGAGACTGCGAGTTCTCCAGTAAGCTCCCCATTACCTGTGTGATCTTGAATTGGGCCAGTTTTGCTAGTCAACACACTCCATTTAAGTTGCACGTGATTGTCATGTTCCCAATGACAGAATGTCTTGTGAGAGCCCCAGCCAAATTCGCAGTTAAAACCATATGTCGGAAACTCTTCAGTGGGTGGAAGGGAAAAACAGAGACAAGTTAATGATTGCAGGGCAGTAAGGCCTTTAATTATTTCATAGAAATCAACCATTCATACAACTTAATTTCTCTTAACAAATTCTGAGAATCCCACAGAATCACGGGTTATCAGGAAACTCAAAAGATGTCTGAAGATGTCGAAATTACATTTAGACTTTTTTTCTCTCTCTCTTAAATCCAGCTTTAAAAAGATTATAGACTACCTGTCAAATTGGTTTTTCATAAAATTTCCAGGAAGGTTAGTTTCAAGAGTATGTATATTACATTGGTCTCTCCCTAACTCCAGAATATTTAATATGAGAGAGATTCTATTCTTGAAGATGACTCATACAATGGAAATAATTTAAATTATAACTTGACTCCTGAACCTCAAAAGTCTAGAAGTATGATTTGGCTTTGTGCCTTACCATGGCGACTTGGTATTCTCATCACCATTTTATGTTTTGAGGTCGAGGTGTTAGGGGAGAGATTTCTGAAGCATTTTCCTTAAGATCTTTTTTTCTTCTGTGCTATACACCAGGTCACTTAAGTGTCAGCATATGCTTGTTTTTCCCATGAATTTTTTTTCAAAATTGTATGTAAATCATGGGCCCCACTTAAAACCTCAATGGAAGGTCATGTTAAATGTCACACACATTTAAAGAGCTTTTTTTTTTTTTTTTTTAATGTTTCAAATGTGTTTTTTGGAATCTGAAAAGAAAGTGTGAGTGGATTCCCAGGAATGAGTCTTCTCCTGTGTTCTACAAGTTGCTATTTTGACTATCACAATACATTTAACCAATAGCCTTAGTTGTTACTCAACTGCTTTGTTGGGAAATAGCTCAACTTTTTTAAAGCTTGGGAAAACAAAAATCGTCAGTGCTTGGAATTCTTTTGGTGAACTTAAAGTAACAGTCAAAATAATTCTAATGATAATGGCATGTTTCTGGCTGTCTCAACCACTCCCTTCCACTCAGCTCCCTCCCTTCCCCCATTCCCCAGTATAAAATGATGCAACAGTTTTCTTTCATCAAGAATGGTCCTTGCTTCCCAATGAGTGTAGGCAATCCACAAGATGGCAGCATTGGAACAGAAAGAGGAAAGGTGCCTAGGGAATCTTGCCAACTAAACTTTATAAATACACCTTAAACCAACTCCCATACACAATGAGAGAAGTCTGGTGTTCTGGACCAGATTAGGGTCAGGGCTGAGATCCTATCAAGTTTTAGCCTATTCCTCAGCTTTGACCAAGCGTTTAGCATAAAGTCATTTGCTTTCTCCTCTGAACCCCACCTCTCTTGCTCTTCCCCTGCCTTAACAATGGTGTTGGGAAAGTTAAATGAAACTCTGCATTAAATAGAGAAGCATGGTTTTCGTTTCCTATTTAGTTTCCAAGGAACTGCCTTTCAAGTACTAATGTCAAATTCTGGAAGAAAGGCACCCTATTAATTGTCCAAATGGAGCTGGATGAATTCTCCCCTCCAATGACAACATGACCTCTCAAAGGGAGGACATGGTCAGTTTGGGAAAGTAAACTAGTAAGCCCAATGACATATAGAATGTGAGCACTTTCAGTTAGTGAGAAAGGCTATATGTCACAGCTCTAGTGGCATGGGAGGGATAGATTTTATGTCTAGTCTAACATAACTATGAAATAGGACTTCTTAAAGCATGAGAAACCCTCTCCAAAATCTACACACTTTTGCACAGGAAGATTGAATAATGTAGATGAAGTACAGCCAACAAAACACTAACTAAATGGCTGAGTGACCTGGGATGTCACCCGCCCAAGACGCTGGAATGTACCAGTATTGTTGCATGATCTCAGTAGAAAATGCTAATACTGGGAAATGTTCATGTCTGTGGTTTTGTTTATTCTTCTCAAATATAGGTTATAAGACAAGCACATTCCGAAGGGCAGGAAGCCATTGCAACACATTCATTTCTGATTCTATTTTCTTGGTTCGTTTGCAGTATTTATTACATAATAGTCAACTCCAGCTAGTTCGTTATTTGGGCCATTACTATTTTAATGATATCTTTAATACTTTAACTTGGATATTTTCATGATGACCAGGATATGGGGTGACTTTGCCTGGATGTTCTTAGACATTGTTCCTGCTTGCTGTGAATGGTAGTCAGTCTTCCTATATCCTTCCCAATCCTTTAAACTTAACCAGGTCTACAGCTCTGACTTTGTATATTGCCACCTTTTAACTTTTTGTCCCCAATCATATACTTTATGGAAATTCATTTATTTAAAGGAAATGTTTTTAGCTTGTTTGTTTATTTTCTTAAATGTATTTTGTTGGGGAGGAGTGTGGAATGAGTAGACTCAGCGTTAAAAACTTTTCCCTGGCTTGAAAGACAACTAACCCCCACAAAAAACCCACAAACAGTTAAACAAGAAATGGAAGAAAGAAAAAAAGTAAGACAGAAGGAGAAGGAGAGAAGAAGAGGAAAAAACGGAAAATAAAAATGTTTGCAGACTAACCAGCCGACAAAAAAACCTAATTAATGAAAGAACACACAGCACCGTTGACCTTTAAATCTTCAAAATATTACCTACACCCTGTTGCTGCACAATTCTCATTAAATTCAATGGGAATAATCTGGTTAAATCCCTTCTTGACTCTTAAAAATAGCAGGAAATAATATTCTGAACTTAAAACAACTTTATAGTCTCTGTGAGCAAGAACCAGCTGTGTGCATTGAACCTATCTTGCTCACAGTTGAATCATTTATACCATAAAATTTAGGATTTCATTTTTAAATCTAGTATTCAAAACTTCTACTATGTTAATTCCCTAACTCAGGCCTATGCAATCATAGATTATTTGTCAATTTGGTTCGAACTCACAGTAACCCTGTATCTTTATGGGAGCACCAAACCTCATCTTTGTCCCGCGGAGCGACTGGTGGACTTGATCTGCTGACCTTTCAGTTAGCAGCCCAAGGCATAACTCACTACTCCATCAAAGACTCCTATGATGCGCTATAGTAGTGTTTGAAGGATGTCAGCGAGTAAGAGACCTTACAAGGGAG